TAAAAACATGTAACATCATTTTTTGTTTATTGGTAACAATATTTTTAATCTTTTTGTGTGCACTCATTGTTTGGTCAACTAACATAACTTGTTAGATATTTTACTTTCAGAAACATATATACGTATAATTTATGAAAATGTGATAATCTTCAATAATTAAAATGTGTGTCTCTAAAAGAATCTCGATTCACAAGTACCTATGAGATTAAAATATTTATTATAATTACAATTTTAAGTTTCGTTACTTAATATATATATATATATATATATATAAATAAACTTTGCCGATTGTGTTGAGCTAGATTAAAATACTAACTATTGGTGCATATTATATTATTTTTAATAGATTTTATTTTCGTAATTAGATCTAAATACAAAAAAATAGTAAAAGTATGGCATATTATATTAAAATAAATTTTCTGGTTCAAAAGGTATGATGGGTCGTTTTATCTATCTGTCATCTCAAATATACGTTTTGCATTTGAATTAGCTCAGGGTGAATTTTATCCCTGGCTACTCCCCATTCTTAATTACTTCAGATTATTTCTGCCGGTCCGTAATAATATTTAGGAAAAATACTACGGTCTCGTTACGGAACCATTCCGTTGGGGTTTGTAACCGTTAAATCATCATGTAATCGTCAGAGATAGTTGATCTAACGGTTACAAACCCGACGAAATGGTTAGTAGCATCTCCCAATATTTAGGTTGGTCTAAACAGTGAGTTAATAGAGATAATATTTTTTTTTTTTTTTTAATAACGAAATGATATTGTAAAATAAAAGCATGATATTAAAGAAAGTACATTTTTATTCAAATTAGTACGAGGATCGAACCTTAGACTGTCGAAAATAAACGTGGTTAAAATGCAACCTTACTGATTTAAGTAGAATTGACTTCCTCAAAGAATGACAATTTTTGCAGATATAATGAATAGGTTTTACCAAAAAAGCATAGTGGATTATTGCTGTTTGCAAGTCAATTTCAACAAGGAACGTTTTCATCATGTATTGATGCAAATGCAATGGCAACATAATTCACAATTGGACGTACACAATAAACGTGATTTTGATAGCTAGCTTGACCACGCTTAGCTAGACGTGGCCACTGGTCGCCCGGCCCGAACCCGGCCAGGTCATGCCCGTTGAATTTTAATCGGGCCACTCTAAGGCCTTGTTTTTGTCGACCCTGGCTCGGGCAGGGCAAGGTTTGGTCCGGTCCGGTCTGGCCCGAAAAAAATACATGTTTTTTTCCGGGTCAGGCCTGGCTCGGCCCGCCAGGCGATGGACCCGGTACAACCTAGGTCTTTTCCGGGTCAGGCTTTCCGAGCCGGGCCCGACCCAGCCATGTCTACGCCTTACCAGGTTACACTGATGATTCTTTTCTGAGAGTGACAACACACATCGCCCACTATCAAAAAGGAATATGTATATCTTATTATAAATATATTAGCTAAACATGCAAATGTGCGTCCACCATAGAAAAAGCACAAGAGATCATCATGCTGTATACCACTTTACCTGAAGGACCACTAATAATAAAATATATTTTCTCAGATATCGGTCCTCTCAGTCACCTGTCATACAAAACACTGTGTTTAAAAATCACATTTTACGTTCCTTAGAGAAAGGCTTTTTTTTAACGCACAAATCATTGAATAATTTTGCAAAACTATAAAGAAGAATAATTTTTTTCTTAATGAAATAAAATGAATAAATAAATGAATATGTGGTACATATATCGGTTACACTCTCATGACCAAATATTAAAAAAATAATAAAAAAAAAAAGATAATTGGATTCACTCATAAAAGGATATATATGCTAATACTTTTAGGGGAAATGCTACCATCCCGGATGGTTCCGTTCAGGGGCGGAGCCACCCTAAGGCTAGGGTGGGCTCCAGCCCCATGTAATTTTTTGGTACCCTTATTTTTGTTACCTTTATTTTTTAAAAAAATTTATACATAGACCCATTAGCCCCGTGTAATTTTTTATATAGCCCATTTAATTTAGGGTTGAATGCTTCAAAGAATATCTCCAGGTTAAAATTTTTTATTTGACAACAATGGTGGAAAAATGATGATTGTAGTGGGGAAAAAAGATAACCCTTTATTATCAAATGACAATTGTGACCTTATTAGATTTTATCAATTGAGTTTATAATGTAGCCCAACACATTCTTGCCTTTTAAATTTTTAGTTGACTTGATAAATATTAAATGAGCTGGATTATTAAGTTTGACACATACTTCTCCAATGGGATATTTAATTGGGTTTGTCTCATTCCACAGTTTGTTATCTATTTTCATTTATTTATTTATTTGTTGATTTCGCCTCCAATAATTAATTCCACATCATTTCCTAGATAATGAGAAAACTCGTACAGAGTTAATTGCAAATATGTTCGACTCTATTTGTTCGATCGACAAGTTCGATTAGCTATTTCAGTTTGGCTTGTTTAAATATATAAGCGATTCGAGATTGAGTTTTCCCAATTCAAACCAACATATGTTTACACATAATTTGTTTTTAATCATAACCAAAACCGGTTATAGGTCGAAACCGTCGATACCGGGCAGAGAGTTGGAGGATTCTGAACCAGCGCGAACATATGTACGTGTCGGTTCATTGAACTGTTAGTTATTGGTTGTCTGGTTCTTTAAAAAATTAAAATAATATTTTTTTTAGTAAAAAAACTGAACCTCGGATTCCGGTTCCAGTTCGAAAACTGAAAACGCATGTTCAAAATGTATAAATTATAAAATATCGTACATGAACGGAAGTGGTCAAAATCACGGGCCGGTTCAAGATCCATGGTCAAAGGGCCGGTTTGTGTCGTTTCGGGCCGAACCGACAGGCTGGGTCGACCCATAACCATGTCTACAAGGCTCCAATAATAACTACAATAACATGCAGCCCCGGGTTAAAAAATTTTCTGGCTACGCCCCTGGTTCCGTTGAATTTTTTGAGTGTAGATTTTATCTACAGATTATTAAATTACATGTATATCTACGGCTACAAAAGACAACGAAACCATCACGTAATGAGATGGTAGCATTTCCCTACTTTTATTAGAACCTACCATCCAACTTTATTAGATACTAAATACTATGTTAATATTAAAGTGCAATAATAAGTGGGGTAGTTTTTTCATGCTATTTTCAGGTGGGCTAATTTCATTCAAGAATCTCATCGTAGTCCACTTTGAGTACATATAAATGAACACTTGTTGGACTATTTAGAATAAAAATAGTGGAGGCCGCCGTCAGAAAATACAGAGTCACTTATAGTGCTTCACTTATATTAATTATTGCCATCACACTCGTAAAAGTTGGTCTCACGCACTCAAATCATGTGATCTCTAAATTATATGCTTAGCCTTAGGTTATTCCAATTGTTTGCATGTCCAAATATTATTACCACGTGTTTATACCACGTGTTTAATTAATGTGTTCCAATTGATAGCAAACATGTTGTGATTTTTGCTACAAATTTAAGGTACATTGAAGAAGACGATCTGATGAGATTCCTGAAGAGGGTAGAAATCCACACCATTTTCCCGCTCTTCGAAGGCGCCCTCGAAACCGGCAAGATCACAAAATCTGCTTTCAGAAACTGGATGGTAAGCAAAGCCCTTCACTAACAAACACAAATTCCACTCTTCAAGTAGTAAAAGAATCGTAACTCGGTCCGTGTTTATGTGTGAAACTTCAGGTAAGGGCTTACTATGAGCGCAAGTCGCTCGCCCACTCGCTGAACGACACAAAGACGGCTGTGCAGCAGCTGCACAAGGTGGCAAGCGCGATAGTGAGCGTGATTATAGTGGTGATTTCGCTCATGGTCATGGGAGTGGCCTCCACAAAGGTCATAGCCTTCATGCTGACTCAGCTTCTCCTTGTCGGCTTCACCTTCCAGAACATGTGCAAGACCGTTTTCGAGTCCATCGTCTTCGTCTTTGTCATGCACCCTTTCGACATTGGTGACCGTTGTGTGATCGATGGAGTCCAGGTAAAAACACACTCTCAAACAAATTAAGAAAAAATAACACAAAAAAAAAAAAATGTGAGTGAGAAGGTTGTGTATATATATATGCAGCTGATAGTTGAGGAGATGAACATATTGACCACGGTGTTTCTAAGATACGACAACGAGAAAATCTACTATCCGAATTCGGTGTTGATCACGAAGCCCATCAGCAACTTCTACCGGAGCCCCGAAATGTGTGACACCATCAATTTCACCATTGACGCCTCCACACCAACCGACACCATATTCGCACTGAAGAAAGCAATACAAACGTATGAAATTCAAACAAACCTTTATTTTATCCTTCACTTTTGATATTGAAACGAACAAGAAATAATGCATTCTTTTGACTGAATACAGTTACATTGAGAGCAAACCAAAGTACTGGATACCAAAGCACTCTGTCATAGTGAAAGAAATAGAGAACATGGACAAGTTGAAGATGGCTCTAGGTGTACAGCACACAATCAACCATCAAAACTATGGGGACAGGAATATTCGAATAACAGAGCTGATACTGGAATTGAAAAAGATGTTCGAGAACCTAGACATCGCGTACCATCTTCTTCCTCAGGAAATTCACCTCACACAGGTAAACATGGGCAACTGGAGGATGCCATTGCCTTGATGAACAAATACTATTTATGTTACTGCAGGACAGGACCGAGTGCCTATTTATATCTATGTTTGCATTGGTTGATCTCTTATCTCTAGGAACTTGTGTGTGTAGAGAGGTTTTTATTTTTAAATGAAGTGCCACTTGAAATACCTACTTATTACTGCAAGTAGTCTCACTGTACCATGGGCATATAGCTCAAGCAGTACTCTTCACAAAGAAGGGTATTGACTGATCATAAATCTTTGATGTGAACAGGAAATCTCACCATGATTCCATATTCCACGAATGAAATCAAGAAAGCAATTTAAATACCAACAAATGTTAGCATTGACAGCATAAACGATGAATTAGTCTACGTCATAACCGCAGCACCTTCACACTGCTCAGTGGAAATTCAAGCAACAGAAGCATCTTGAAAGTAGTTACAAGAATAAATGACAAAATTTTTTTTAGCAAAGATAAAGCCTCACATCTACTACTAGCTGGAGCCACTGAATTATTTTCATAACTGAAAATAGATAAATCTCTTAGAATGCAGAAAGCAAAACAAGAACATACCTTATCACACTACAAACGATCACTGGATACTCGACCACAAAACTCTCCCATCGTAAGATTGAAATCCCACCACGAGCATAACTAAGCGTTGTCAGTCAACACAGTCGCTTTGTAATCGTAAAGGAAAAAGGCCCCAAGATATATGCTTGTGGCCAAACAGAACTATCCATTAGGAAAGGAAACAGATCAATAAGTACTCTCTCATAGTCCATATGATCATATAAAAGTCATCACAGTAATCGTGCATGGAAACGAATGCCTAGACACTCACTGCACGGGGTTCTTTAATATACATATACTGTCCGGGCAATATTCCGGTCACCCCTATAGGAGTCCAAATTGTAAGCCCCCATTGCACTTTTTTTTCCAGAAATAATCCCACAAGCTCAAAGGGTTATCCACACAGCTTTGAAATGGTATACGATCAGCTTCAACAACATATACGTTGCTACAATGCGGGAAGTACACAACCACATAATCGAAAAACAGTAGAAAAGAATAATCTGTACCCAGCGTATGTAGAACACGATACCGAAATTGGCGGATCGAGTAAATATTATCCCACAAGGTACTTTCGCTGCAATTTTTCGCAAGGGACGGCGATGAGTGAATCATAGCACCAACCTAAAGCCGTCACTAGATGATCAGAAATTACACCGACGGCTTGGGGCATTTTGGGCTTGATGGGCGTGATTACGGGCGAATATTGTGCTTAATCGATTACCTGCGAAATCTGGTTTGGAGATGAACGGGTGCCATGATTTACAGAGGGGCTTACAAATCGATTGGAATTTGGAAGCTCGATGAGTATATTTGCATTCAAATCGATCGGGAGCTCGGTAATCGCACATACTACTGTGTTATTTTTAATTTTTATTTTTTTTTCGAGACCACATATTTTACAAAGGTAATATGTTACATGTACAATTGTAGTTTACAACATTGGTTAATAACTTAGTTAAAAGTATCATTAACTAAAATTTTAATCATAGACCTGATCCGGTCAAACCTGTTGGCCACTGGTTCGGGATCGGCCGGATTTCATACTGCTGTTTCACGGTCATCAATTTCCGGCGGGCCTGAGCCGGGTCCATGGCCCGCTTTTCTAATTTCTATTGTTTTTTCAAATGATGGATTCGGCCCAGTCAACCAGGCCATTGACCCAGCACGAGTATAGGTCCGTGTCGGGTCTGGGTCAGTGATTTGGAGTCCAGTGACCCGGCCCGGGATTTGGCCATGTCTACCCAAAGCAATAATAACGTTCAATGGCCAAGACATATACAAGCAACAACTCTACTCTGAAGAAGCGCCCTACTTCTTAACTACCAAACAGAGATAGGGGAAGTCTCACGGCTAAGGCAACCACTATCTCGTGAACCTTAACCTATCTCCGGCATACCTAACTCAGGAACAAGTATAAGTAGTTGACCAAAAATAGCAAGCCATTGTACTTTCAACAGGACCTAGCGAGCTATCAAAACCTAATCAACAATAAAGACCAACTATACTAAAATCAACTCAAAAAAAAAAAAAAAAAA